TTTTCTCCGTGGGACCATCCAAACCAAGTTCATTAGCAATATCGTTTTGTATTAGAGAACAAGTGCTCCCTAAATCTAACATTGCATAAGTTCTCACGGTCTTGGCCGGCCCGTGAAGCGTTACAGGGACAACTTGAAGGAGAACTTGCGATTGGCGCTGGGAATGCGAAAATTTAACATGTTGGTTGGCGTCTCCCTTTCCGAAGACTTGTTTTGCTAGGTGGACTAGTTCGTGATGTTTCTTTTGACAGCCGTCGACACCACAAGATTTCTGCGATCGACAATCGCGTATACGATGACCACCTTTCAGGCAACGAAAGCAAAGGTTCTTCTCTTTGACAGCTTCGGCTCGTTCGTCGGGGGTAAGTGCTGCGAACTTCGGGCATAAAGAAACTGGGTGATTGCCGTCTTCAAACAAGCAAGGCGTTGTTGGCCGTTCACCTTCGTGGGTGGCGTACGAGTTGGCAGGGGGGTCGTCTCGTCTTCGTCGTTGTCTATCCACTCCGGCTTTTCCAGCAAACTTTGGTTTTGGCTTCGTGGGCAATAGTTCGTAGGCTTCAGATTGTTCCTGCAACCAATCTCCGAGGGTAATCAGCGTGGGGCGTATGATCTTATTTCGTATTAAATGTTCGTTCCATTTCAAAATCATGGGCGATGGTAGTTTCTCAATGGCAGACTTGACGTTGCTCGCAGCTTTCAAGTCATCTAGGTAGCCCAGGTCCTGGAATGTCCAAACAATATTGTTAATTACGGTGGAGAATGCTGAAACACTACGAGCGTCGTCCTCCGCAACTGGTGCCACTTTCGAAAGCTTATCAAGATGGGCTTGGACTACGATATGAGGTTTTCCAAAGCGGTTTTCCAAACACTTCAACGCTCGGTGATAAAGGTTCCCGTTGTAGCGAAAGCCGGCGATTACGGATTTCGCCTTTCCGACAACGTTCTGTTGAAGGTGGGTCATTTTCTCGAAGGGTGACATCTCCGACCGGTGAATGATTGCTTCGAACATACCGAGCCAATCTGTCCACTTTAGAGGATCACCGTCGGACTTCGTAAGCGTAAGTTTTGGTATAGATTTGTGGTATGATATAGGTGCGGTCATTGGTTCGGTACGTCGATTCTCGTTCGTCGTCGATGGTAGATTGGCAATCCATGAAGCGGTAGATTTTGCCTTTTCCTCTGGATCTTCTCGAAAAAGTTCGCTTAATTCGTTAGTGTTTTTATTATAGTTTATCACCTTTGGATTGGGGGTATTTCCGACTTCCGGCAGCCTATTTCCGACTCTCGACAGCTTATTTCCGAGTTACCGTATCTTATTTCCGGTCTCAGCAGGAGTTCGATAATCCTCGCTAAAATCGCAAAGTCTTTTCTTCAAATCGTCTGAACTACCAGAACCGTTTGTTTCAGCCTCAGCCTCGATCAATCTAGCCTCAAGTTCGGCTTGTGCCGCATGATCTCTCGCTTCTTGTATGCGACGCCTCTCGCTTTCTTCTCTGGCAAGACGATCGTGCTCGAGTTTGGCTTGTTCGAACTTAGCAAGTCGTTCTCTTTCGATGCGCTCAAGTTCCTTTCGCCGCATCGATTCATCTTCTATTTGTTTGGTTTTCAGTTGCGCAAGCTTCGCTTTTCGTCGGGCTTCGGCTGCTCCTGCTGAAAGTTTCGAGGTAGAAGACGTGGTCGATTTTGCGTGCGTGCCTAATCCCGAGACGGAGGGGGGTTCATCTTCGCGTTCGTCAAGGTGTTCGTATGCTTTTGCCACAGTTTCGTCTGCCTTTTCGGCCATTTCCACGAACCATTTCTCGATAGATTCCTGTTCCTGTTCGGGTAGAAGTTCGTAAAGCTTGCGGTTACAGGAATCCGCGCTCTGGACTTGGTTTTCTATTTTTGTGACCAAAGCTCTGATTAGCGTTCGACTCCCCCGGTTTTTTATTAGTTTGTTTAGCTTTGTTATAGAACGCGTAACGCTGGATTTCTCTTGCGCTCTTTCTCCTTTAAGGCCTTGTATCTGCGCGCTCCGGTTGATGGTGGTATCCGTCGTTTCGCTGACGGGTTGTATGTCTTCTGTGTGCGCGTTATTATCGTCCGTGTTTTCGCTCACACAGGGCAGACATTGCGTATCTTCGTGATTTGACATTTTCACTTCATTTCAGGAGATGTATATATTTCACTGAGTCAAATCCGGCTCGAATAAGGACCAATGTTATATCTCGATCGATGCGTCGAACGTTGTAAATTCAAATGCGAGACGTGGGTTTTATTTTATACATAAATTTATTTCACCAAAAACCAGACAGCATGCTTGACTATAAGTCTCGAGTCTCTCGTTCAAAACCTACTCGTATTTCACAACATTTAACTAAGCTATATAATATAATATGCGGCGTTGACAAGTGTTGACAAATACAATACAGTTCGAGTTCGACCCCTTAGGGCTTGTCGCTCAAGAGTATTATAACTAAGATTAATAAAACTAAACGTATATAAACAGAGTCATATCGTGCTGGCGGAACATAGGGGGTTTGTCGGATATTTGAAAGTTTTGCCCCCGCCCCCCCCCCGCGGGAAAAGTGAATTTCCGCCACTGTCCACTCCCCAATGGCTTCGGACTTGACCAGTAACTCTTGCGTGCTCAACTTGTTCGGCAACAGCCGGCACCGCAAACAATCGCTAAAAAACGTTATATTGGCAGGCGAGTCGTGTAAGTACGCAACATTTCCTCACGTGAACCTTAACCAATATCCGAATTGATTTGAATTAAAACTGAACTGAACAAAGCTACCATTATTTTTTACTGGTTAGCTCTATCAATTCTATCTAAACTGTTCTTCCTAGTGGGCCGGCAAGAGTCACCCTACATCGGTCCAGTGTTGCTACAAGAGGAAAGTGAAGCACCCACAGAAATTTGGAATGTTAGGTTGAGCGAAACTGCGATTGTGGAGATATTATTTAATGAAATAATCACTCAAGGCAGAATCGAACCAAGATTGCAGCTGTGAAAGACATGCGCACTAACCACTTACAGTATCTGTAGTCTGGGACGCAAACTAAGCGCCTGTTTATATGTTTATATCTCTTGCACTTATCCAAAGGCATGGCCATGGCTATGATTAGGGCCGCCGAGAGGTTGACGGGGGCCCGGGGCAAAATTTTTTTTTAGGATGAGAACCCCCCCCCCCCGTCGCCAAAAAATTTTCGGTCAGCGTACCATTTTAGGGGTAAAAAATTTTCCGGACGAGTACGTTACAATTGCTTTCCAGGGACTTTATCTCATTTTTCATGCCAAATTTCGGTACTTAACCGAAATATTTAACACACAAAAAACACTGGGGCCCAACAAAAAATTTTCAGGGGCCCCCCAGCACCTCGGGGCCCGGGGGCAATTTGCCCCCTAGCCCCCCCCCCCTCTCTGCGGCACTGGCTATGATATATCTTGACTTTTCGTAGATATTACTTGGCTCCATACATGTAAAATATCGCGAAAAAATGCCGACAATAAAATTAAAGACAATTCTGAACGACACTCACGTATTTCTGCACACTCACTATAGGTATAATTTGGCACCGTATATTTAAAAAAGATTACAAAATTAATACATATCTAAGGAGTGTCATGACTAGCAAAAACTGAAAAGTTAATTAGCAGCAAAATGATCTAATTTAAACGTTTATGTTGCGATCGCGAGTAATTTTCACCCGCTAAGGCCAGAAAACCTAAACGTAAAAGCCCAGATAGGTTTAACTAAATATCTCATTGAAAGTCAAGGTTAATTAAGGTCATTGCAGTGTAATCAGACAATTTGAATTCTTAAAGTGTTTACTAAAAAAAAGGGGCCTGAATCACTCGCGAGCTAAAAGCTATTATAAACTGCAGATATATTCCGACAATACATCATCTTTGACGTTTTCGTGGTATTTCCAAAACAGCACCATTTTAATGTTGACAAGATTTGCATTTGCACAAAACTAATATCTTTAAAAGTATGAATATTTCCCTATCAATTTAATTAATTACTATTATTATTAATTATTATATATAATTAATATATATTTTAGACTCCAGTTTGTGTTGATTCCTTTTCGTTAAATTTTTCCGAGAAATACTGGAAAAATCCCGAGGAGTTCGACCCAGAACGATTCGCCAACGCAGTTCACCAAGTACCGGGCTCGTTCTTTCGCTTTGGCATGGGGCCAAGGAAGTGCTTAGGATATCGATATGCCGAGGCTATTACTCGTGTGATGGTGATATCAGTATTGCGAAAGTACACCCTGCAATTATGCCGTGCTGGAGCGCAGCCAAAATTAAAGACAAAGGGGTTTCCTGGCTCAATACCATATGTTTGTCCGGGTGTTATATTTAAAGATAGGCAGGAAATTAGTGACTAATATAAATGAACGACAACGTTCTTATAGTAACAAATGCTGTAAATCAGTGGATACAGTATATGCAAATTTTTACAAAAATTTATATATTTCTCTTCTCCCGCACTGCCATTCAATGTTGTTTACCCAATTATTTACTAAAGTGAGATGCCCAATGAGACCCAATCTCGTACCAGAGTATGCCCGTTCGCAGGTGTGGTTCTGGACGTGACTCTGGAGAAACGGAATACCGGATATCCAATTTTGGATACTCCGGTTAATTGTACGCATGATCTTGCTTAATTCGCAACCCTGAATTCGCGCGGGCGTCATTTGTTGCAATTATAAAAAAGTAGTAGAACTTGTCGAGAATTTGATACTTTTACATTGAAATCAACTGAAAAATATCTATTTTCTTGTTCTAGAAGTTGTAGAGTAGATACATAAGGGGTGTATATAAACTAAGCATTTTTATGCATTTTATACGATCAGTAAATGGTATCGAGAGATTTCGGAGATTTAGAGCATAAAGTTGTAGTTTGACTATTTTACAACTTAGAATGCTCTAGATTATTGCATAGGCCTACTATGATTTTATGATATAATATTAAAATATCTAGAATACTTGATATAGTTAACATGTAGTTTGTTTATTAAATATTTTTGTGTCTTGAAATATGAAAGAAGTGTGAAGTATAGTTCCCTCTGTATCATTCCTTTTCAATTCAACATCGTGCATTGTGAATTTCGTTTTTCTTACAAACATTTCCACTGTTATATGCATTATTTAATTCAATTTAATTAATTGAGTAATAAACATATTTGACTGTAATTATTGATGCTTGAAAAAATTTAATTAAATGGAATTATCACACAGTTTGAAGTGTTCGGCTAATTTGAAATTGTCATAACTATTGGGTTTAATACAGGACAATTTCATCTGGTTGGGTGCCTGTTTGAAAGGAGGCTGGTGAGGCACGGTAATTTTCCTATCCAAATACTGGGGCCCCACTGAGTGGGAAATTTGCCATTATTGGAGTAAGCTACATTACCCAGGGCTTTCAGAATTATTCTGAGTAGGTGTCTGTTTCGATAAAGTAGGCGGCTTTTGGGAGGGGGCGGTCTACAGGGTGTCTAAAAAAACGCTATGGAAATTCAACAGGCTTTCATGCATCACAAACGTGCCTAAATAATTCAATTTTTACATAGGACGAAAGAACAGTTATTTAGCTTTTCAATGATACTCTTTTCAAATCGTAACGATAAGAAATGGCCACATAATCGTCAAATAAAAATTGCCGGTCCAAATCACATTCTTCCAGCGATGGAATTGCATGAAAACGAAACATAGACAATTCCCATAAGGGAATTAAAATTGAATGTTAAGTTATCTGAAAGTGAGCTCAACTCATCAATCTTCGTCTTAGTGAGACAACACGAACGTCCATTGTTGCATTAAACATGGTTCAATTAACCACTGAACATAGAACATTCGTAGCAATGAAAACGTTTTACGAAACAAAAACCTTGCAGCAGGCTCGCGTTGCTTTTGGATTGATTAACTTTGCATAATTAATGTATTTTCAATTCCCAACGGTGGAAGAATGTGATGTCGACCAACAATTCGTTTTTAACCAGTATATGGCCATTTCTTCAGTATCGTCACGGTTTAAGAAAGGTATCGTAAAAAAGCTAAATAACAGCTCTTTTCTCTGCTGTAAAATTTGAATTGTTTAGCTAGGTTTATGATGCACGACAGCAGGTTGAATTTCCATAGCGGTTTTTTTGAGACACCCTGTACATCTAGGGAGTCTTAAAGTCATCCAAATTAACTAGTGTATTGCTTAGATAGCAACACAACTGAGCTCTGTAACCAAATTATAATAAATCACTACTTTCATTCTTCAACAAGATAACTTCAAGATTTAAGATGGCAAATAACTAAATCGGTTTTAAGAAAAAGTACGTCGTTTTCGAAACTAACAATGCTATAAAGTAGACCAGGTTGATGAAAAATAACTTGTAAGCTTAGAGTGGAGGAAGGAGAGCAGAATTTATATTTCAAGTACTAAACAAAGTAACCGGCGGTAAACCTCGTGGCACCCGCCGGAGGTCAGGCGGCCGCCGGCTTATTTTGAAAGCCCTTTACCCGACCCACTGAAATTAGTGCATATCCCTGGAAGATAAATCATAGTTTTCACGTGCTGGTGTATGCCTGCAACGACCATATGTCAAGTGAAGGTAACTAGATACTATTTCCATTGACTCTTTTACATTATTGCACATTATATAAGCCATAATTAGCTAATGTAGCAGGCGGAATGTAAGATGCATGTGGAATCACTTACTGCCAGTATGACATTGGCACTCTCATATTGTTAGATGTACAATTTCAGCACATCAAATTAATTGTTGCGTTCACTGCAGTGGCAGACACACTGCAAAATTCGGTGGAAAGGCTGATGTTAGGTTGCCACCATGTGGCCACCTTTTCGTGCTGTAATTCTCAGTTCTTCACAATTTTACCTCAAATTTCTGGCAATTTGTATCTTAATTTATTCCCGACAGATGCCGTCACGGTTGAAAAATATTCTTGCTATACATTCAAAGACTTTCAGAAATTGTTGAGTAGAGGGGGAGGGTGGTTTGCACCATACACTTCTTTACTGTTTATCAGTTAACTCCAAAGCATGTGCTTATTTATTTCAGGCATGGAGTCGAGAAACTGTAGCACATACATCCAAAATTAACAAATCTAATTGGCGCATGCGTATTTCTTTGTCCTGAAGAGGACAGTTGAAAGGGAAGCTTAATTATAAACTCAATTTGAATAGGAGGATGCTGTGGGCTTAATACCAGTAGGTTTGCTATATAAATTTACTCTTTTCGTCAAATATTGTAAATGCTACGGTATGGCCACTCCATGCCTTCATCCATTTGTAACACAGATCCATGGGTAATAAACTTAGAGGGTCCTGGAGGGGGGGGGGGGGTCCCAATCCCATTTCCCACCTAAAATTTTGGCAAAATCCAAGTCCCAGTTAGATTTTTATTAGAAATCCCAGTCCCAGTTATTGAAATTCCAGTCAATAAAAAACCCTTTATTTATCGGTAGAATAAACAGTTTTAAGACCTTTTAAGCAAGTGGCGGACACTTTATGAAACATTGGGGAGGGGGGCTTGTGCCGAAGGCTCGGAAAATTTTAAAATTTGAATCCCGGAAATGACATTTGCAGCATTCTGAGACACGCATAATCAGAAAACTCAGAATTCCAGGCGCCAGAGAATGCTTGTTCGCAGGTAGTGCTGTGAATAATATAGTTAACAACAAAAATCATGACCAAAGACACCAAAAACGGATCAAAATTGTATTTTAAAATACTTAAAACGTAGAAAAATTGGGAATCGACTCGCATTACCTCAATCCCATTCCCATTTTTGAGGACTTCATTTCCCAGTGGCCAAATCCAAGTCCCAGCAGCCCAAATCCCATTTTCCCAGTCTAAAAATAGATCAATCGCTGTTCCCATTTTACCCCTTCAGGGCCCTCAACTTACTTTAACTAGAATATTTATATAATTATATGAGTTATGAGTATTATGGTATACTCAAACGAAAAAAACCAACACTGGTTATCACTTATCGTCGACGCGTCCTTTGATTGATGGTCTTCGAGTTTCTGGTCAAACGGCTGTAGCCGATGGTAAAGAATATTTGCGAATATCTATCCTTTAGACCCCATGTCAGTTCCATCTAAAAAGCGGCGTTTTGCCATATACGCAATATTTCGAAAATTAGGAGATTTCTTACCGAGGATATGGCAAAGATCTACGCTTTTGTGACATCGAAATTGGACAATTGTAACTCTTTTAATTAATAAAAATCTTCGTGAAATATGAACCATCCTATCCCAAAACTATTGTCCCATGTATGGTAGAGTGTTTGTGATACTTCAGGGCCTGAGTCATGGCCGAAAGCAGCGAAGAACAGAGGGGAAAAATCGAGGATTTCGACGATGTTGACGTTCTTAATATGTCATTCAGTGAAATGGAAATAGGTATGTATTTTACCTCATTAAATATCATGTAGATCATTGACGCGTTTTATAATGCAACTCATAACAAGCAGTCGTAACACAATGATATCGTTCTCTATGAACAGGACACGCTTGAATAACGCCATATGTTGACAATTAATATGTTGTGCTCATCGTTCGACGGCAGCGACGTGGATACTCTCAATATATCGTTTTCTGAAATGGACTTGGTATGTAGATTTTTGTGGTAATGGAGATTCTACATGCAGACATTGTGTTATTATACTCAAAAGACAAAGAACAAGCGAACAATGAGACGATATATTACTCCTATTTACATTGTAAATGTATATTTTTAATATGCAAATATAATTTCACCATATTTATCTTTCAAATTGTGCTTTTAATGTTTCATGCAGACTGATATTTGAATCTTATCTAAAGTATTTGGAATGGCTTATCGTAGGCTTAGTCGCAAAATATGTAGAAAGCGGATATAATATCGTTGATGTTGTATTTGCATTGGCATAATTTGTATAAACACTTTATAAGACAGTCTCCATCGTGATAGAAAAGCGGCGGCTAGTTATAAGTACTATTTAGTCTGCCAAGACCACTGGCAACCTCGTTCCCAGGGTTTCTCCTTCTGTCATCTGGGACAGACTAGTCCCAAGTCCTCTGTGCACGCTTTTGATTTCCGTGACGTCACCGAGCGAAACGCGCGCAAGAGGACTAGCACAAAACGTTTTCTAGCCTGCAAAGCAGGTGCTCGCGGGCTTGGTAAATCCCGTAAATATTTTCCAATATGGCGGAATTCCAGAATTTATAAAATTGTATAAACATGGAAGAATATGCAGAATATTTAAAGATAAACGTGAGTATTAAAGATATTATGGTTGTACAATGTAAATAATAAGGTATTATAATAACTTCTTTCAGGAATGACGTAAATTTAAAGTAAATTGTAACATTTTTTTGACTATTAGTAGCACCCTGATCATCATCTGTTGACTGAGTTCACTAAGTGCATCTCACCCGATAGAACTAACTGTTGAAACTTCAAAGGTTTTGTAGATAAATATTTTGAGTTTATACATTTATGAGTCCTGACCAAGGGCAGTTGTGAAAAATGCAACTACATGCCCTCTGGCAGGAATCCAACCAGCTGCACACTTACTTTTGTATATATACATGAACGTGCAGTTAGAGCTTGACACCTGGACTTTGTAGCTTAGTTAGTTAGAGCACTGGACCGGAATCGCAGAGACGCAGGTTTGATTCCTGCTAGATGGACTATAGATAGCATTTAAATAGAGAGATTTATGCCCGTATTCTAAAAGCTCACTCACACTCGATGAGTGGAGGTTCGATCTGAGCTTCTCTTGAGTGTCAATGCTGATTTGGAATAGGGAAAGTAAGTAGTCACTGAGTACGAGGTGACACTAGCCCTCCAGCTGTTCAAAAATAACATTGACACTCAAGGCAAGCTCAGATTGAACCCCCACTTACTGAGTGTGAGTGAGCTTTCAGAATACGGGTGTTAAATGGTGCACTGCCAGGACAATTTGCCCCTTTTGTTCATAGAGATGTGGATTCATTTGAGCATAAAAGGCAAATATTGCAGTAACAATATCCACAGCAATAAAGAGTACTTGTATTGAGTATTAATATTATTATGATTATATAGTGATTTGATGCAGGTTGATGGTAAAGTGTACAAAGTCATTTTTCTGGAAAAAGCAACCATCACTGAGTGCAATATAAAAATTAAGCAATATTCCAGTGACATGTATCACAAGAGATATCTGTTGAAGAGGGCTTGGATTGGTTTATTGGCCTTTCTCACCTTCAAGTGATTTGCAACCTGTCATGGAGAAAGTTTTTGGATATTTTACATGTATATAAAAAATAATAATTGTAATAGATGCTTTCTCTGCAGAGTAACTAATAAAAGATGATGCTTTGGGGCTTATTTCTGCTTAGTGGAGCTGTAATAATATCATATTCAACAATTTAATAAATTAAAAATTCAATATTAATTTTAATAATAAATTTCATAATTTTATTACAATAAATACATTTATTATTATGTATTAAATTAACAATATTAACCTCAAAATTTTATTTTATTCCTGTTCACATGTGCCTGCCTGGAGTGTTCGTGTTGAAATTGTTGCTTCAGTTTTTACATACTAATAAGAATTAGATGCTGTACCTTGTGACTGTTCTAACACAAACTAGTTCGAACAAGTAACATTTGAATATAAACTAGAATACCGGTGTTCCCGGAAGTCCAACAACAAGCCATTGTTGGGTGGTGATCAGGTGAATCTTGTTTGAAAATATTACAAACATGACACTATGCAGACTGTAGTTCGGCCATTTCCTGACTTGACGAAATAAATGAACAGCAAAATTATGTACATCCATGTTGTCCAATATGTCTTTTGCCTGAACTTTGTCACTCACAAATGCCACTTTCACCAAATTCTTCAAATATGACCTTGTTTAATTATATATTTTCTTGACAACTGTCCCTGTATATGCCTGTATGGCACCATTTAAATTTTCTGCCACAGGTAAAACATTTCCTAAACATCAAACAAAAATTATAAAATAAAAATTGTTGGCAAGTACATAACAGATCTATATTTTGATCTATAAATTCGCAAAGCTCGCAAATATTCAAACGTTCTAGTTAACACAAGTGAATACATGCATTTCAATAGTGCATTGATAAATATCATTACTATATTTACCATGTATTTAGTTAATATTCTACATTTATACAGCAGAGGTATCCCAGGATATCGATAAATAAATTCTCACCTTCTATATTTAAAAATATTTCTCACCGATTTCTTGTTTTTTGTTGGCATCAATTCCGCTTTACTACATTGTCTTTTCAGTATATTAATTTATGTACCACTGCTTCTATTCAATATATATTAAAACCACAAAATTTTAATCCAACTTGTCGCAAATATAAAAGTCAATTTGATACAAATCTATAAACATTTTACTCGCTCATGAGAACGGCGCCATTTTCGCAAGCCACTGATCTCAATACAGCAAGTGGGGACACTTTGTCCCCACTTTTGGCTCACTTGAAACATTTTATTCTAGGCCTCTCAGGAGCCGTCACCTCATTAATATGCAGAAACGCGCAATAGGCGAACTAAGAGGCCTAGGGACTAGGCTGCATCTGGGAGAGACCCTGACTGCGGCTGGTCACGTTCCTCCCAGATTCTGGGAGACAAATTTAATTGTAACTGTGAGAGGGGTGGGAAAGGAGCGTGTTTGTAGCGTTTTAAAATTGCAACTTTGGGTGATGAAATTTACTGTAAATTTGCAACAAGAAATCGTAAAGAGAACTCTTAAATTAATATTTATATCGTGACGTTCTACTCTATAATCTGGCGTCGAGTTACAATTCAAGCAAGTTGGATCAGATTTCATTATAGACTTGCCAAAGAAAGCACGCTTGCGGCGGTTTGCCGCTTGTGCTGCGTGGCAATATTTATAAACCTACAAGAAAATATATATCTCCAGACCGAACAGTGTGGTTGTTATTTATTTAGTATTAAAGTCTATTCTGATACCCGGACCAAAAGAATTTATTTATTGATGAGATGTGGAATTGCAACGAAATAGCGAGATCTTTTGATTTCCGAAATATCGCCAACTGTATCCAGATTGTTGATCTATAATATATATAAAGGCCTTATCAAAAAAACTTAAAGCCCGTCAAAAGACTATAAAATTGGCCCTTGGCATTGCTGAAACCAACGATCATGGTATATGTCAAAGTATAGCTGTCTGTTGAAAATCTACGGTATTAAAATCATACACCAAAGATAAGTCAAACGACAAATTATATGTCACTATATTATACATGTCTTTCAATGAGCACTCTTTAGTAGTGTTCACCACCTTTATAAATTTTTAAACAGTTTTCGTGCATGACATGAATAAGCTTTAATTTTTTGCTTTATATGCATTCTTAATAATACAAGTGAGATTAAGTTTTTGCTTTGTGAAACAGAATACCGTTATTTTTTAATGGACAGCTTGCATCGTCTATATCATATCCAGGATTGCTTGTGTGTAAACACATTATTCACTATATGACACTATCAAACAAATATAAGTAGCAAATGATTAATGAATTAGAGATAAACAGGTGATTCACACTGAAAACTTTAAAAATGTTAGTAGAAGTAGAAAACTCGAAAATTTATGTCTATTCGTATGACGCCAATGACGGTCTAGGCCGTTTGCTGAGGCATAATATCGTTCACTTTCATTTAGCATGTGTTAGAACTGAAATATTTTTACATTACTTTCTATTTTCGAAGACACTGAACACGTTTCCGAAGAGTTCCCGCTCCATAGACCCGCAGTATTTTTTTAATTGCCATTTATATTTTCACTTACTCGACCAACAACATGCCATCGCCCGCCATTTTGAATTTCGTATAACATCGGCATAAGTCCTCTTACATCGTCCCCAGCCTTTCCATTTCGTGACCGCGTTACGATTTAGATCGATGTTTTTTAGTGAAAATAAAGATGGCGCGAAATGGATAAAGTCAGTGACTGTAGTGACGGCATTTGTGTACTTCATTTTGAGGGAAAGAAGGGCAAATTAAATATTTAACACAAGAAACACTAGATTAAATAGTCGAAAGAAGGAAACAGTGGCTATATGTCAATTGTCGGAATATAAAGATTTTACGAAGGTAGCAAAAAAGTCGTTTGAGTTTATCCCAGAAAGTTTGAACGTAAATGACATTGCAAAAAACTATTTCTATCATTCCGCATGTTATCGCAATTTCACTGACATCAGTAAGTTTGAAAGGGCCAAAAAAACATTGAGTAATGCAGGTAGAAAGCGTCAAGGTGACAGCCCCAGCGAGAAGGAGGAAGTGTGTTTCGATCCGTAAGCCCGGATCTTCATCAGTGCTAATAATATGTCATATTATTAGCACTGATGAAGACCAGGGCTTACGGATCGAAAGCTTTGCAGTAATAAATTTACGTGGTGTTTCCACAAACAAAACTATTAGAATATAATATAATAAAAACTATACAATATACAGGAAGCTAAGACAATTACTACAAAAAACAAGACGCTCTACGGAGCGTTAACTCGCTGGGACTATACAACTACGCACATTACTGTACAATGTACATGATACATACAGTACACAGCTCTTTCCCGAGCTAAGCGGAAAAGTCCGACGAACACGAGCGCGAAAGGCTTAATAACACAGTACTAAAATGCGGTAGGCCCTACAAGTAAAGTTATATTTAATACCGCTACATTCTTCTTCAAAACTGTCAGCCGCCAGTTGGTCTAGGATTATTAAACTGCGCTTTAAAACGTTCATAGTAAAATATTTTGGGGCTTTTGGGCTCAAAATACTATCAAAAGGAAGCGAGAAGTGAGACGAATCCACTGGTATACGGCCAAAAAAGAGAAATTAACCAATGATACCAAAGTTATCGAGGGTCACACGTACTGCATTTTCTATAATTAGTTTAATAATTTTGAGCGATTGGTAACAATACAATTTCGCTTGGCTTTCAAAGACAAAGTTGTTGTTTAGTAATAAATTTGACATTCGTAATTAGTACAATTTCTTACGCTGAATCGAACGGTGGTATTTTTATCCTTATTGCGCCATTATGCATTACAAATACAAGGACAAACCTGTGGACAAACGTAGTGCGAGTGATTTGCCATCAACAATAAATACTGCGAGCGATTTTTCAACAATACAATTTCGCTTCATTTTCAAAGGCCATAAATCGCTAGAATACGAGTGTTTAGTAATACACTTGTACAAGTACAATTTCTTACGCTGAATCGAACGGTGTCGCTTTCTTCTCAAAATATAAAGCAGCGCAGTCAAACGTATAAACTTTTATAAACTTGCGGATTGCAGAAATTTTTTGGGGGATCACTTTCCGTGGGAGGCTTGGTAACCGCGACTTTTATTCAGGGTACATATTTGGATTTGTTGGGACACTTGACGTAAATTTGGGGTTATGGCAGGTACTCGTATAAAGTCTATCAGTACCATTAATTATCATTAACCTTTAGTGGGAAATATTTAAAAGTTACTACAACTGAATTTATGCATCGCCCTCAGCTTACAGTTGATAATGCAAAATCTATAAACGTGTCTTGTTCACATTTTGCATTGCGCGCATAACATAACATAACATTTATTAATTTATATCGCGCAAATTCAACAATGCAGTTTTCAAATGCGCGTTACAACAATGGATAGGACAATTAAATTACGTAGAACTAATATTACAAATTTAATCTAAGAACTGAGCTAATAATAAGCCTCTTTAAAAAGATATGTCTTAAGATCTTGCTTAAAAATATTACAATCAGAGATACTCCTAAGATTCAATGGCAATACATTCCATAGTTTTGGTGCAGCAGCCATAAAGGCTCTGTCACCAAGAGTAGACAATGTCTTAAAATTTGGCGGACATAAAAGAAGTTTGTTATTTGATCTTAAACTATAAGAAGAGTTTGTTTTAAAAGTTATAAGTTCAGTTATATAATTAGGGGCAGTTCCATGAATTGCCTTAAACGTAAGTGTAATTATCTTATATTCAATTCGACATTTGACTGGCAACCAGTGTAACTCATACAACAGCGGAGTAATATGGCTAAACCGTGGTGCACGGTAGAGAATCCTTGCGGCAGCATTCTGAACACGTTGTAATTTGGCTATAGCATTGTTGGGAAGTCCATATAACAGTCCATTGCAATAGTCTAGGTGACTGGTAACGAAAGCATGAACAAGTTTCTCTGTTGATTCTCTGCTTAAATACTTGCGAATTCTTCTTATATTATGCAGATGATAAAAAGCACTTCTACAGGTCTTATTGATATGGTGATTCAAGTTGAAGGTACGGTCAAACCAAGCGCCCAAGTTCCTGATAGGTTCTTCAGATGGTGAAATTACAGATTCACCAATAGTTA